TCTCTCTCTCTCTCTCTCTCTCTCTCTCTCTCTCTCTCTCTCTCTCTTTCTCTCGCATACGACATCACATGTATGCTAGACACTTGAATTATTCAATTTGATATAAATGCTTGGTTGTTTGTACCGTATGAATTTTGTAGCTCATGTAGACAACGAGATGTGCTTGGTGCGGTCGTTAGAACGGCTTGGAAGTGCAGCGTTATCAAAAGAAGAGCCGGATATTGGTGCTGCTTTTCTTAAGTTTTCCGTTGTCACCAAAGAATTGAGTGCATTAATGAAAACATTGGTAAGTCGACTGCATTGCATTGCATTGCATTGCCATTTGGATGAAGACATATTAAGGCTCTTTCTCTCTTTCTGTCTCTCTTTCTGATTTCTGCATTCATTGCAATAGATGCAAAATATTAGCAATATCATAATGTTTCCGGTTGATACGCTGTTAAAGTCGGAACTGCGTGGTGTCAAAGGTGAACTCAAGCGTCCGTTTGATAAAGCTGCCAAAGATTATGAGTCCAAGTATATGAAAATTGAAAAGGAGAAAAAATCGCAAGCTAAAGAAGTTGGCATGATACGCAGCGAAGTGAATCCAGCGGAAATTGCCGATGAAATGGAAAAAGAACGGAAACTTTTTCAGTTGCAGATGTGTGAGGTATTGTATTTCGACAATGTACTTGACACTGTGCGCAACAATTTTAATGTTCGCTAAAAACCATTTTCAAGTTTGATTAATTTAATTGGAACATTTCGATCTACTCTCCCTTTTTTTTCCGCAGTATTTAATCAAATATAATGACATTAAAACTAAAAAAGGTATTGAGCTGCTGCAGCATCTCGTTGAATTCTACCATGCACAAAATAAGTAAGTTTTTATTAGCTCCTTCTCTCTCAATGAAACTTCCTCATCAATTCAGTTTGCTCTATCTCACTTTCCATCTCTCCCTGTAGCTATTTTAAAGACGGTTTGAAAACAATAGCACACTTTGGTACTTATATCCATGATTTAAGCGCAAAGTTACAAAATATCAAACAAAAGCAGGACGACGAACGGCGAAAACTATGCGAACTACGAACGTTGCTGCGAAGTGCACCGGATTTCGATCGAGTTGAGGTTCGTTAATTGAACTAGCATTGAAGAAAAACAAAATGAATGGTGAAAAATGTTCGATTTTCGTTTAATATCAATTTTGTCGTTGTTAATAGAATTTATCAACGGAAAAGGGCACCGGATATTCATTGCATCAGCTGCAGGGTGATAAAAATCACGGCATCACAAAATCAGGACACTTGCTGAAGAAGAGCGAGGGTAAAGTGAGACGGGTATGGCAAAAGCGACGATGTCGTGTTACTGCTGATGGATTCCTAGATATTTATCATGCCGACGAATCAAAAGCACCGACTCGAGTTAATCTTCTAACGTGCCAAATAAAACCAGTTGCCGATGATAAGCGAAGCTTTGATCTGATAAGCTGTAAGTCTGATAGTAGACAATATGAAATGTGTCGTAATTAATTCAGCTGATGCTGCATGAAATAAACTAATCGAAAACCAATTTTTTTTTTTCATCACATAGACAATCGTCCATATCACTTTCAAGCGGAAGATGAATTGGATCAAAAATCATGGATAGCCGTATTGATAAATTGTAAGGAGAAAGCATTGACGAAAACGTTCCAGCATACGAATCCGCAGATATCACCGAGTCTAGTTGAATTGCAGAAGACACTCATCAGATATGTGGAAAATTTACCAGGAAACGATCAGTGTTGTGATTGTGGTTCAAAGAATGATGTCTCATGGATTAGTTTAAATTTTGGCGTTTTGGTGTGTATTCAGTGTTCGGGTATCCATCGGGATTTGGGTGTGCATCATTCGCGTATACAAAGCCTAACACTAGATAATATCACCACGGCAAATTTGCTGATTGCGCGGGCGATGGGGAATAGTACGCTGAACGATGTGATGGAGGCAACCATTGGAAATGTTAAACTTGATCCCGACAGTTCCATGGAGGAGCGATACGATTTCATTCGCGCAAAGTATGTAGCAAAACGTTACGTCATGCGAACCTGTTCGAATGATTGCGATTTGCGAAACGAACTGGAGCAATCGATATTGAATGCCGACTTGAGCCAGTTACTTCAAGTGTGGGCTGAAGGAGCTGATCTAACCGCTGTGTTACCAACATCTCGGGTCGGGGAGACTGCTCTGCATCTGGCTGTTCTACGTGAAATGGGCTCAACGTTGCATATCGTTGATTTTCTGATTCAAAATATGCCGTCGCAAGGTTTGAACAAGGCGACCAATATCACAAATATGCCTGATGTGCCGGGCAAAATGACGGCATTGCATTTGTGTGCATTACACGATCGACAAGAGTGTATGAAATTGTTGCTGCGATCGGGTGCTGATTTTGAGCTGAAAAATGAACAGGGAAAAACGGCATTGGCCATAACAAAGGAAATGGGTTATGATGCGTGCCGTGAGCTCATTGAATGTGCAATCCGGAGACAAAAAGGCGCTTTTGATCACATCAACACCGATTGGAATCTACCACATGATGACGGTTCGACCGATTTCTCGGACGATGATACCGTAGTCGATGAAAAGAAACGATCACGTCCACCGAGCTACGCGGGCGGTGAATCACCGGTTGCAATTCGATCTCGTTCATCAACATGTGATTCCATTCAAAGTGGATCTAGTCCGAATGCCGTATCAAATCAATTGCAACGCCAAATGTCGAATCAATTGTCGGCCACATACACTCAATCCGGTACCAGTCCAAAGCAACAGAATCTATTTCCACAGCAAGGCCGTTTGTCGCCCGGCTCAATGTCAAACATCACAAAAAATTATGCGCAAGCCACGAATTTATCAAATCGCAAATCGTTGAGCTCATCGAAAATGGAAAAGCGCACCGCTCCGATACCACCCAATCAAACAATATACAGCACACTGCCGCATGCGCCAAGGCACAGTCAAAGTGTCGATGCCAAAGAAACTCGTAACATGAACAAAAATCAATGTGACACATACAGCACATTGCCGCATGTGCGCAACTCAGATGCCAAACAATCACTTGACTTGCACTTTAGCAACAAAATTTATGAGCCGCTACCGTTTGAGGCGGAAATCGAAACGCCTGATAAGTATGACAGACAACAGAAATACTCAGACAGACAACAGCCGAGTGAGTTTACGACATTTGGTCACAAGCGATCGCTCAGTGGAGAATCGATCGGTCGAAATTTGCATTTGGCTGGTGCTAAACTTGTGCTCCCGTCTAGCTGCGAAATTCCGATTCTAAAACCAGTGGACAAGAATGTGATAAGACCCAAATTACCACCACCTGGACCGCCACCGAATTCAGCGACAACACCATCATCAAATAATGGTTTGCATTATTTTCAATATTGAATTTTACGAAGAAAAAAAACCCAGCTGCTAATTTTTCTTTCAACATTTACAAATTTATTTTCCAGGAAGAGACATAAACCATGGTGATATGGACTATGGCACAGAATATAGCGTAAGTTAGATTGAAAAAAATGTGAAACGATAAAAAAAAAGTCCATTTTAACTCATTCAAAACTGATTAAATTGTAGGAAAAGAGTTACTACAGCGACAGTGGTGACATGGATTACTCAAATAATGGTTTCGAGAGTTCTGGCATATTGAACGCTTCGTCGAATTCAATCAGTATTGATTTGTCGCCAGGCAATACGGTTTCGCGAGACCATAATTCTGGCGATAACTATGGCTATGTAAGCATAAACATTTTATAATAATTTACCGACTGAAATTTTATACATTTCAAAACGGCTATCTTGTTGTTGAAAAAATTCTTTTTCATTATTTTCAATATGATTTTGCTGTTCTTTCAATTATCCAAATGAATTTAAAACGTTATTTGTTTGTTTCATATAAAAAGTTATTCCCATAATAAACATTTTGTTATCAATTGTTTCACAGTTGCGGAAACGGCGTCGATGCAGGGCACTATACGACTGTTCGGCAGACAATGAGGACGAGCTCGAATTTAAAGAGAATGATATAATCGTTGTACTAAACGAACGAACCGACGATGAAAATTGGATGTACGGTGAAATTGAAGGAACTTCACGCCGTGGCATGTTCCCTGTTAGTTTTGTTCAAATGTTGCCCGAATAAACACTCAGATATATTTATGTATAAAACAAATGAAAACTAAGCATCTTGATGATGGATTTAGTCGTATTTCAAGTGGATGGAAGAATAAAAAGACCATAAAAATACATGGCTCTGAATCGAAAATTCATTGCGAAAACGAAAAAGAAAACCACAACACAAACCATGCTAAATGTTACAATCAACCAATTTTATGTATTAATATGCATCGCACTAGATTACTATTATGATTATGATTATTATCCTTTTTATGAAATGCAATTATAAAAAGAGATAGAGAAAAACATCAACAACATTTTGGCTTGAGAATGTGTTGCGAATGCCGATGCGATCAGAACGATTATTAACGGTATTTGCAGCCATCATCTTTGGCCTATAAATATCAACAAACAACAATGTATATCTTTTGTACTTTTATTTTTTTATTTATAAATACTGTTCATTGATTAATTTATTTAAAACAAGATGAAAAAAAAAAATAACACAAAAAAGGAGAAAACAAATGTGAATTACGCAATTGTTATGATATTTTTTCTTTTGAACGTAAACCAATTTACGAAAGGAACCAATCCCATTACAAAAAAAATTCTCAATAAAATAAAGAGCAAACAAGTCGTCATTTTCTTCTCTACCAAATGAAATATACAACACTGATTTGAAGAAAGATAGACAAGAAAAACACAATCAAAGGAAATTTAAAGCCATTTTACTCGAAATTGTTATAAGTCTTTAATGGATGTAAACAAAAAAGAAAACTAAAAGTATTCGAGTGTTTGTTTGTGTGGAGGAACATTTCAGTATCGTTTCTCAATGTCAGTATTTTTAATTATATTTTTTTGTCAATATTTTCTCGTTAGTTTGTTCTTTTTTCTCTCTCCTGGTTAAACCGACGATTGTTATTTTTTTTTTAACGAAGAAACAAAATTCGTGTTTCTTTATCTTCTGTTGCAACCAAAAAAAAAATTTAATAATAAAACTACAATTCCAAAATGAAAAGTTACAAAAACAAAAATCATATGAAAAAAGTTTTTTTAGAGAGAATTCATTGGTGGATAAGTGCACAAAAAAAAAAACAGAAAACAAAACCAAAACGAATGAACACAATTTATTGCACAACTATGATATTCTTCCACGAATGTGTATATGGACAAATTCTACCAATTTAGAGAATGGATTGAAAAAAAAAATTGAACGGAAAAAAGACAAATGGAAATGACACAAAAACAAAACACTCGACTATAGACAAAATATATGTGTTTAGATTGTGAAATACTCTATGCAAATGTGTAATGTTAAAATTAAAAGAAGAAAATCCATAACAAAACATTTATTAAACAAACACAAATAGTATGTATGTGAACGAGACATCAATTGGTATATCATACCCGAAATATACTTGCAAATCAAATAATAGATGCATCAAATTAAATGCAGGTCATCACTCTCGGTGCAAATTTATCGAATCGATTTTTAGCCACCAATTAGTAGTTGTCAGTTGGGTTTTTTTTTTTTTTTTGGTTCACATTAGACAAAATCAGACAAAAATATTTCATGACAATAGCGCACGAATGAAAGTGAGAAAAAAAAAATGAAAAAGAATAGCAGGTCTTGAACACTCAATCAAATATGTAAAATATTAAATAAAAAAAGCAGTTGCCATTTATTGATACGTTGTAAAACAAAGAGTAAAAGAAAATAAATAAAAAAAAATGTTCTCATTGAAAACAAACATTTTTCTCTTCCATTTTCATTTATTTCCGTCATTTTATCGATATTTTTGTAATATTGAAATTATACTTTTATTTCTCTCTGTTGGAAATCTTCTCTGGATCTGTTTCATCTTGCATCCTGGATTTCAAAATCACACTTGTATACTTCAGATATTTACAACAAAAAAAATGATTACGGCCAGATGAAATTTCTCATTAAAACAATATCTTGAGGAATTCATTCAATCACGTAAACAACTAAGCCTAATTCAATAATGTTGACCCGATTTCGAATTTGTATTAATTTGTTCCATTCTATATTCATTTAGCTGGTTTTGTGTCCGGTGTCTGTGCGGCAGAGTTCAATTTAGCGACGGCTTGATCGTATAATCCGCCAACAGTTTTTGGTAAATTGGAAAGGGCCTCGAACGTGCTTATCACACCTTGATTGTAGTAGTAATTGGTCGTAGCGCAAAGCAACAATTTATCATCCTGCACTTTTTGTACCTGCACAAAAAATCATTAATAGCTTGGATTTTTTTCGAATATTGTTGTTAAATGAGAAAAAAAAAATTGTCAAAAAATATTTACCTTCAATTTCAGTGAGTCTGGTGTATTTTTAGCGATGTATGCCTTTGCACAAGCAATCAATTTATCATATGCACGTTCTTTTCGGCTCAGCTGTGACCACACTTCCAATTGATTTGTCCAATAAACTGCAGTCGATGCAATTACAACCTTGAATGCAAATCTATGCGAAAAAACAAAAACATTTAATTCGAAATTCATCGAATTGAAAATATGATGAGAAAAATTCAATAAAAGAGAAATTATTCACTTCAGAACCATTATGAAAACAATTGGACGTGCAACACACACAACTTATGTAATTTCAAAGAAGTTGAAAGATTCGTTTTGACACAAGCCAAATAGTTGCTGTGAATGGCGTTAGAGGGCTTTCTGAATACGTTACAGTTACCGTAGTTACATACAAAATAGACTGTTAAATTGAATGTCAAAAGACTTGAATCATCCATCCACTTTCATTTGTTGTCAACTCTGTTAGCGTTTTCCTATCGAAATTATTACAAATTCTTTAGACGTTTTTCCAATATCTTTAGATGATTTTTACCAAAAAAATTGGATATTCAAATTAGATGGTTTTATCAATTCTTTAGACGATTTTCACCCAAAAAAATATGGACACCTTTTAGACGAAAAACATTTCTTCCATTTTGAAATATCTATGTACATTCAGTAATATTCATTTGTCGTTCACAATGAATACTTTTAATTGTAAGTTGTACTTGATGCGTGTGAAGATGAAAAAAATTCATTTTTCCCCCTAGCGCAAATGTAAACCACTCGAAATTGTTATAGGTCTTTAATGAATGTAAAAAAAAAAAAAAAGAAAACTAAAAGTATTCGAGTGTTCGTTTATATTTTATGCGTACGATTTTTAAAATAGCCCATTCTGATGGATTTGCATCTTTCGCAGGGGCATTTGGAACTGATGCTGTAAGCAATTTTCAGATACATCTGATTATTCTTTTGAATGTCGTTCGAAACATCAAAGATAGTTGTAAATTTACAGCCAACAATTTTAATTAAAAGTCTTTCTTTTCTGCCGTTACTTTTGACTGCCTCGAGTAACTCTGAATAGCTTTCCTCATTGATCCGAGTTTGTTGAACATGCATCAAGTCAATATAGATGAGTTGCTTGCCGAATTCAACAATATTCTTCAGTGTGTTTATGCTAACGTCATGAAATCCACGTCTCGCACAATAAAAACAAAGTATTAGTTTGGTGAGGAATGGTAATGAATTCACCAACGTCACAAATTCAGTGTCCAAACAAGCAATACTCCCTCGCAATTTTACGACTCGGAGCGATTTTAGCCTGGAAAGACCTCTAATAGCTGTTGAGTTGAACGTAAAACCGTCTAGTGTCAACTCCGGTATGCTGACATTATTTCTTTGGAGGTCATCCAATATAGGTTTAGCACTCTTTAAGCCGCAAATTCTGCCAAAAATTTCCAAATATGTCAGGTTTTTCAAATTTCTCATCTTTTCAAGTGTTTTAGTGTACAAGGAATTCTTATCTTCAATATGAAGAACTAAACTTGTTAATTGTTTTGCATATTTTGAAATGCAAGAAATAAATTTATGTGTGACATCAACATCAGATAGTTCGAGCCACCGTAATTGTTGATTGAATCGAAGTAACTCAATGAAGTTATTTAACGGTGGTAACGTAAGAAAAAATTCAAGTTTTACCAATGCTGAATTGGTTTGGTGAAGAACTTTCGACGAATCCCTTGATATATCATCGTGTTTATCGATAACGTTATTGTATCTGCAAAAATAAAGTGTGAGCTCTGTTAATCGCTCGGATAATCGGATCGCTTGAAATGTTTTACAATCAATAATTAGACGGCTCAGCCGTAATTTCATTATGTTTGTAGAATGCTCGAGTATGTCTGACCCAAGTTTATCTCCTGTTATGTAAACGTATGAAAGAAAGTGACCGAATTTATAGAATATACGCCTTATGTCTGTCCTTGAGTTTCTTCTTAAGTCAAAGTAGCAATTAAAAGAAAAACGACCCCTGACCTTGTGACAAAATGCACTCTCTGCGAGTGGGCCAAAACGTTTACACACATTTGCTACATGGCATAGTTCAGTTAATTTTAAATTCTGGAAGATAGTTAGCAAACAATCATCATTTAAATCCAGGAGAGTTATCTTGATTTGGTATCCTCGTAGTCGTTTTTTGATTGAATTGGGATCCAATGTGCTCGGAGCTCTGATCCGCTTCTTACGAACTGTCTTCTTGTATTGGTCTTCAACTAATCCGCAGCTATCACCCATTTTGGAACGCACCTCAACAGTAATCTATTCAAGAATTCGAGAATAAATAAATGATCACTCAGAAAACAGATAAATATTCAAAATGTCAGAAATTTACGTTATATGCAACAGTATTTCATGTATTATCAATTAGAAGCGGTTGTGAAGCGTCGTCAAAGTTACCTTCGTCGTGAAACAAAAGAAATTTCAAATATTTGAAGTGTTTTTCTGCTAAATGAAACCACGCGTGTGTGTGTGTGTGAAAAGACTGACGTTTATATTAATACTGGCAGTAGTTTGTTTGAAAAGCCGAATAGTTGCTCTGAATGGCGTTAGAGGGCTTTCTGAATATATTATTGTTGCCGTAGTTACATACAAATAGACTGCTGAATTGAATGTCAAAAGACTTGAATCATCCATCCACTTTCATTTGTAGTCAACTCTCATAGCGTTTTTCTATCGAAATTATTATTGTCGACTTGGTGTGTTGTTGAATTTTTTTTTAACGCTAACGCAATAAACAACAAATTTACTGTTTAAATTTGATTCATTTCGAGAATCAATCTGGTGTATTTAAGAATATTTAGCTTTGAAATTATCTGGATTGGGAAATAGAATTTAATCGAACGAAACTATGATTGATGACATGAAAGATGAGGTAAGTGTTTCGTTTGTGTTTGGTGTTGGTTGCTAGTTGACAACACACATCATTGTTTATGCAGTTGTTGTTGTATAACTGAGTATATACCATTGTTTCAATTTGGTTTTGTTGTTTTGTCTTTTTTCTCGTACAGAATCAATTCGTCGTAGACGATGTGAGTAAAATAATCAAAGAAGCCATCGAAAACACAATTGGTGGAAATGCATATCAACATGATAAAGTAAACCATTGGACCAAAACCGTTGTAGACAATTGCCTAGGTGTCTTGACAAAACTCCAAAAACCATACAAATACATTGGTAAGAGGGAATTCTTCATCGAGAGTCATATTGTCGCTAATTTAAATTTACTCATATGTTTTTTTTTGCGATCGATTCTCAGTGACATGCATGATTATGCAGAAGAATGGTGCCGGCTTGCATACAGCTAGCTCATGTTATTGGAACAACGAAACGGATGGATCTTGTACGGTGAGTGCAAGAAAAATTGAAACGCATTTTTCACTTGTTGGCCAAAAGCCAATTCCATCTGTCCTTGGAGATGCTGTATTCTTTTTATCTGTTATGTGTGATTTGTTTTTTTTTTTTTTTTGATTCCAGGTTCGTTGGGAAAACAAGACGATGTACTGCATAGTGTCCGTCTTTGGCCTGGCTATTTAAGACTATTTTTCTTCTTCAGCCGAATTAACCTTCAAGTAAACGGCTTTAATTGTTTATTTAATTTCCAGTTGGGCAAATCAAATTTAAGTTAGACTAAAATCGGAATAACATGTAATTTTTATGAAAGAAATAAATTGATTGCAAAAGACGAATTATTCGTGGGCATTTTTTAATTTTCAAATTTAAAGAAAAACGAAAAAGGGAGAAAAACCATCATCGAGTCATATTGGAGTTTCCGACGAGATATTTTTGAGTGGGGCCGATCAATGGAATGTCTCTGTCAAAATTAAACACCATCGGAATTGCATCGGGTAAGGTTGATGTGTATGTGTGCGCGCTGAATAATTGTGGTTCTCTCTTCTGGAGAATACGGTGTATGCAGTGACATTTCGTTCCGTCACGCATACAAATACATTGACATCCATACCGATGATGATAAAAAAAATTGTGTGTTTCAATCGAGCAATTTGTAGTGTATAAACAATTTTTTTTATTTCGGTCGATTCCAAATGTTGTTTTCAATGTGAACTGTTTTAAAATAGCGACACACATGAACACTGCATTTGTTTTATGTTATAATCAAGCTTCGGACCATTTCTGTACTCGATTGGATGAATTGTTTATGTGTCGTTGTTTGATTGGAAATACAACACTTCAGACGTATTAACACTCTGAAACGAATTGCAGAAAAAAGAAACAAATTCAGTTGGAAGCTACTTAATTTTGCACTGTTTCGCAGCTATTTTCATTTTATTTCGATTGAATTTTTTAAGTTTTGTAAAAATGTTGAGATTTTTATTGCATTTTCGTCAATGAATTGTAGGCTAATAAGTTTATGTTTTAAAATAGTTTAAAATTGTGTAAGAATATTCAGAACGAATTCCGTATACGCGCAACAATACAATACACATTTGCCAATAGCATGATGATGACAAATAAAAGTAGCCAAATCGCTAGAAAAAAGATGCAGGTGTCATTCGTAATACGAGATGCAGAAGAAAAACGACATCGAAATGGTGTGAATGCACTTCAGCTGGACCAAAACAACGGCCGACTGTATTCTGCTGGTGAGTTCTGAGAAATGTCATAAAACACATATTCGGTGATATATTCCGTCTGTAAAACGGTTTTCACTGATCCTTTTTTTTTTTTTCATTCATCAATTGTGTTTCGTTTTTCTTTTGCGTTTCAAGGACGGGATGCGATAATCCGAGTATGGAACTCAAATCAAAGTAATACACAGGACTGTTACATACAAAGTATGGAACATCACAATGACTGGGTCAACGACATTGTGCTGTGTTGCGGCGGTAGAAACTGTAGGCATCCATTAATATTTACATTCCCATGTCACTTATTAAACCCAACTAAGATCTTATCGCCATTTTTTCCTGTTTCTTTTGGCATTTTATTTGCACAGTAATTAGCGCAAGTTGTGATACAACTGTTAAAGTTTGGAATGCCCACAAAGGATTTTGCATGTCAACGCTACGAACGCACAGAGATTATGTACAGGCGTTAGCATACGCAAAGGATAGGGAGCAGGTAAATTGAATGAGCTTTTTTCAAATTCGTAAATACAATCAAACACTTGAACTAATTTGATTTTGGCTCTGGTTATAGGTTGCGAGTGCTGGATTAGATAAAGCCATTTACTTGTGGGATGTAAATACGTTAACCGCACTCACTGCGAGTAACAACACAGTGACGAGTGAGTGAAGAATGAACTTTTGATATCTCATCATTTTTGTCCATTCGTCGAAAAACCATTTCAACATTTTTTTCTTCAAATTTCCCAGCATCGAATTTAGCCGGTTCCAAAGATTCAATATACAGCTTAGCTATGAACCCATCCGGGTCAATAATTGTCAGTGGATCCACGGAGAATGCCCTACGAATATGGGATCCTAGAACATGTAATCGCATTATGAAACTGAAAGGACATTCCGAAAATGTGAAAGCGCTTGTCGTGTCTAGCGATGGTACTCAAATCATTTCAGGCAGTTCCGATGGTACGATTAAAATCTGGAGCGTTGCTCAACAACAATGTATTCAAACGATTCAAATACATTCTGAAGGTACACACATTTTTCGTCTACAAAATTGATAAGTGAAGACAAAGATTTTTACGATCATTTTATTGAATTCATTGCTTTATGAATTTACAGGCGTTTGGGCGTTGTTAGTTACCGAAAATTTTTCACATGTGATTTCGGGCAGCCGTGATAAAAAGATTTTTATGACTGAATTAAGAAATCCTACCAATAGTGTTTTAGTTTGTGAAGAATCGGCGCCGGTGCTGAGTCTCTGCTATAATATTGATCAGACTGGCATTTGGGTGAGTATAGGCATATTTTTCATAGTGTTTCCATTAATCAATCAATCAATAAATGGATTTAATTTGATTTTGAATGCGTTAACAGGCGACCACTTGGAATTCGGATATAAAATTTTGGAAACTGCCGCGGTACGACCGTTCTAACTACAATATAATTAATGATGGAAATACGTCGAATAATAAAGACAATGAAATTGCATGTATTAAAGGTAATATCATTTTAAAAAAAGTACACATTCATTTTACGCTCATTCCGCGAATGAATGAAGAATACCTATACGATAACAAAAAAAAAATCGCCTCGATTAAAATGGTTTCAGGTGGGGCGGCCATAAAAAAATACGCCGTGCTAAACGACAAACGACACATTCTAACAAAGGATACGGATAACAATGTAGCAATTTATGATGTACTGAAAGTAACAAAAGTCAAAGATCTAGGACAAGTCAATTTTGACAACGAACTCAAGCAACACAACCAAAAGGTTTTCATCCCTAATTGGTTTACGGTCGATTTAAAAACTGGCGTATGTATCATTACTCCGGAAAAATTTCATTGTTGAAAAATTGTCGAATGTAAAATAAAAATGTTATCCATTTAATTTGTTGACACAGATGCCGACCATTGTTCTTGGCACTGACGAAGTGGATTGCTTCTGTGCATGGGTCTCAGCTGAAGCCGGTTTGCCCGAACATGCAGAGGCTGGATCAGACTTAAAAGTATGCGAATCGCTCATCAAACACACATATGTTGTGAAAAACTAAATATGATTTCTTTCCGTTTAGATTAATTACGGAAGCCTTTTGCTACAGGCTCTATTAGAACATTGGCCATTGACTCATACGCACACATCAAACGATGAAGTGATCAAAGGAAATGAATATTTCTCGGTACCAAAACATACACCAGTCATTTTCAGGTAGTTATTTCTCTATTTTAGTCCATCTGAATGAGTTGAACATCGAGAAGATTCGACTGGTGACTTAACTGAACGTCTAAATAATTTTCACATATAAAAAATTACAGTGAGGTTGGTGGTCGAACGGTTTGTCGACTGCTGGTTCGAGATGCAGCCGGTGAAAATGAATCATCTTTGCTTCATGAAACGGTCCCATCTTGGGTTACTGATATCGTCGTTGAGAAAACTATTCCAAAATTTGTAAAAATTCCATTTTATTTACTTCCACATCCGCAAATGGTGAAACAAGACCGAATGAAGAAGGTAATTTATCCGGTTGAATTGCATGTGATGATGCAAATGGTATGTTCACTTTAAATTGAATATTAATGTTTGTTTTATCAATAGGATCGTCTTGTGGCGAATGAATTCTTACAATGCCGTAAAGTGTGCGAGCATGTATTGGACAAAATACTGGGCTCGGAATCTGGTGTGAATACAATGATTAGTAATAATTCACAATCGAATCAGAATGACAACAGTTCAGAGGGTTCACAAATACCACCCGAAGATAAAATTGAACTTTATTGCAACAATGTCGTAAGTATTAAACGCAAACAGAATATTTGAGCGATTTAATCGGCTAAAATCCAACCACACAAATTGCTTTACTCATTTCAGTTGCTTGATCCCCTGCTAGACCTGAGAACTGTGCGACATTTCATTTGGAAGCAATCGGCTGATTTAACATTTCATTATAAAACAAAACCGAATTTCAACTACAGCTAAGATCGCTGCGATGGAAAGTGGAATAAACGAAGTCGCATGTTATTTCGAAATATCTAATCAAATTCACCAAATAACCACAATTTTTCAAATGCATGTACTATTATCGGTGTCAAATAAAACAAAAACAAAATAGAATAAATAGACAAACAAAGCAGAGACATGAGAACATCAGATTGATGATTGATTCGCTTCTCGAAGAATTATGTTGTGTTAGAGTTCATAAACTATTCATTATTTCATAAATATATCGGTTAGAAAAAGTCAACTTTAAAAGCATGAAAAAAAAATGAAATAAAATGCAAATGATTGCAATTTTTTTTTTGTACGAAAAGAAAAGGGGAAACGCAAATATTTGTTTAAATTAGAACAGAGAGTGCAAAACGGTGAGAGGAAACAACAGACAGAGAATGATTGGTAGGCCTTATGTGAATAAGTTTTCGGAAAAAGTTTCATTTAATCATCCAAAGGCTTGTAAGGCAAGCGGCAAGTAAAAAATGCACATTGGTTGAGACTTGTAGTCGGTTTTTCATTGTTACCTTGAACGCTTTAAAACGAAGTTCCTCGATTCTAAAGTATACTAAAATGAGATTGCTGTTTTTTGGGGGCAGTATAAAGCAGTCAAAGATGCCTCGGAGAGTCATTCATCGTTACCAAAATTGTTTCAATAAAGTTTTGCCAATGTGGTGTGATTTTTCAGTCGAAAAGTTTGACGGTCGATCGGCATAGATTATGGTTTAGAGGCGAAAAAGAACGAAATTGCGATTGAATGTACAACAACAACAACAACAACGAAAACAAGAACAATTACTGTGGCTGGATCTCAATCGAGATGTCATTGATATGATAACTATATTACAGTGGATTCTTCTCAAGGGTAAGCTGAAGAAACAAGGCAATCGACTGCAATTATTTTGCTAGTTGAATCATTGCTATTCACGTGATTCGACACCAAAATAACTGATATACCACATAGAGAGTCACGAGTGTAAAGTCTATCGTCATACAAAAAATCTATTGCAACTATCTATCTACTAACCTACCTACCATAACGCTGAGTATATGAACACACAACAATCATATATTTATGCACTCACTCTGGTGGTAACATGTTCATCGGAAAATTGGTTTAGTTTGATTCGACTTCTACTATTTGGAGCCAGTGAGTTATTATTTTCCTTCTTGCTTCTTTTTTTCTGCTTTATTCTTGCTTCGGATACTTCGTCGAAATTGTATGTTGCATGACCGTTTCAGAGGTGCAAGGCCAATTTAATGCTAAAACCCCTAATAATCGCTACATTCTCAAGAACAATGGAAAAATGTTGCTCATTTCATTTTTAGATCATTGACAATTGCAAGCAATTTCGTGTGCATTTTTGAAATGCACTCCACAGGCATTCCGACAAATGCGCGCACAAAATTCTACCTGCCATTTACGGTATTGAGGGATTAAACATTGAAGCATTCAATGAAGAGGACCTTTTAATGAAGAGGACCTTTTAATGAAGAGCGAGCGTAGTGAACGAACGCACTTACACATAAATAGCAATTTTAATGAAGAATAAAGTTCAAATGTGGTAATAAAAGTAAATATTAATCGATACAAGTACAAGTACATTATTAACATAGCATACACGAACACGGCCGACGAATTAATTTTTCATAGGTTAAATGACAAAAAAAAAAAAGAAGAAAATACAATAATGTAACATCAACGCGAAAATCGACATAATATCGCTGTTGAATGCTACTGCGAATGTGAATGCGGATCGATTCGATTCCATATTATTGTTGCGAGTATACAAGACGGCGCATTAAATATATGATTATTTGATATTTCTTCTTCAAAAAATATCGAATATCGAATAACGAGTGTAAGGGCTCCGACAAAACAGCACCTCGAACACTCTCTCGCTCTCCTTCTTTTTCTTCCTCTCTCACAACATTCGATTATTCATCATGTGAAAACTTCGGTTTCGGCTCGATGAATGTACTTTGGCTGTGTGTGCGAGGGACACATTGTAACACGATACAACTGAGGCCACATTGCAACGGTTAGTGCCAACCTTATTGTCACCGTTGCCATTTTTACACACGCCGTACTATTGTATCTATGCTGAGTTGTGGCGTAGGTCACACAACTTATGAGTGTGCGCCACTTTCGATTTCAATACGGTAAAAACGAAAGAAAAAGTTACCCCCACATAAAGAAAAAAGAAAATATTTTTAATTTATACGACTTACATGACTTACATAAGTTCATGAGACATTCATTTCTACCTCTCGACTGCGTTGCCGTTGCGTTTCATTGTATTTATCTAATTGTAATAAAGAAAATGCTATGGAAGTGGAAATAAAAAGAAATGTGAACGAGGTAGAGACAACGTAAAATAGCTTGCAAGGGGAACGCAATGCGTGTACATTTCACGCAAGCTTTGGCATTAGATGAGCTTCGATAAATGTAAATTGTGCTTAATGATTCGGTTACGTTTGCTTCTTTTCATTGACCGATCCAACGAATTCAGGCTGAAATTAAGTTGTATTTTAAACTTGATATTTCGCTGATTGCCTATTTATCTGGAAATACCTTTCTGTTCGATGTATACACTGTAGAGCACCGTACAGCACCGTACAACACATATGTTCGTTTCATCATTGATTGACATATAGGCCGCCCTTGCGAGCATATACATTCATTCATGTTAACATACACAGTCATGCGCCCGCACACGTTCAGGCCACCACACCACTATCGTGATCTGTTATATCGTCATCAGCATACACAGCACACATTCGAATAGTCGAACACATGGGACTTTGTCTTGGTGTTCTATGCACTTGACTACAATAATGCACTGGCTGTATTGTATATACCATACACGTTGCTCGCACACATTGTACCGACTTGATGGCGCGAGTGAGAGTGAGAAAGAGTGCATGCAAGAGAGAGTGAGATAGAAATATAGCGTGAGTGAGAGAAGAAAGATTCTTGCATGCAACGGAAAAGCTCAATCCATGCGATAGAAGGAAACTGTAACGTATTTCCTGCTGCCAGAGTCATACGGCTAAAGGGTATACATAATACACGCAGCCAGTTCGATTGAATATCTTTGCAATTCCAAATGAATCCATATCATCGAATTCCAATGTCTGTGTATCTCCGTCGAGGCGACACGAGTACATAACACGATGCCATAGAATGGGATACGCGCGCTGCAGAACAGATACACTTGCAATGCAATACACGCACAACTATTAGGATTTCGATCCCCATCGGAACGAAAGTGAAACAGTGAAACAGTGAAACCGACCAAACTATACACAGCCAAACAAAATTTCATTTGGCGAATCCATTCCGTTTTGCGATTTCTTGTTTCATTTTCGTTTATTTTCTCGAAATCACAATGAAAACCGACGACAATGACAACAACGATGAAGCGGAGAGAGAGAGAGAGAGAGATACACACACTCAAAGTAGTTGTGGTATTTTGTGTGTTACTATGTTTGCCCGTTCTATATGGTTATTGCTGGTATTATTGCGTTTGTGATTGTTATTGCTATTGCCATTCGGTGTGACTGTAACTGTAACTGTAGCTGTGGCTCTGACTCTCAGGCTGACTGGATGGCTGGCCGTAGCATACTCAATCGGCGCAGAATCCAAAAATGAAATTTCTCCATCACACTCTTACTTTTCATTCCATAAATTTTCGGAGTTGAATGTGGAAAACATTTAGGACTCACATACATTTTCTCCCATTTTCCATATGATTTCGAAGCGAGAGAGTGTGTATGCCATCCAATAGAACAATGCATACACGCTCACATGGTGCTTCGTATGCCACTTATACAATGAAAAAAAGGACACACGAGATCTCCCCCTCATATACACAGACGACGAATTTTTGGTGAGCACGCAAATAACAAAAATGACTTTCGTAGCCTTATCCATCGACCGAAACTGAAATGGAATTGATTTGATATCTGCATACCTTAACCAAAGGTATTATTCATTTTAGACAATGTTTAGTTCTATACTCATTTTTTGATTTTTTCGGTTAAAGTTTTTGTCCATTAATTTTGATTGTTTCATTTTGTTGTTGTCAAGTAAAACGTGAGAATTTTTATCAAGAAAAAAAATTGAAACAAACTCAAAAACAAAAAACCAAACCAAGCAAAACGCGAAACAAAAAAAAAACGGCTGAATTTAGAAAACGAACATATAACCACAGAGACGAAAGAACATTCAAGCAAGGAGAGAGAGAGAGTGAGCACGGGATTTGAACTATCTACACAACAACGGCAACAACAACAACAACAACAAAAACAACCAAAAACGACCACTTCATTCATTTGAAACACAAGACAAAATTCCAAGTTAAAGTGTAGCGCATCACACCGAAAATTCTTCAGATATAACAAATATCCCGAACGTGATCTGTGTTAGTTTTGCTTTGATTCGTTGCGTTTCGATTTTTGGGTTTTATTTAAATGTCAAACCAACCAACCAACCAACCAACCAATAAATATAATAATTTAAAACAAAACATAACAGTATAAAATTAACTAAATTAAACGAACATTTAACTAGTTTTAGAAATTAAAAAATAATTTAAATAGAAGAAAAGCTCGAAGAAGAGTAAAGAATCTAAAATGCTCATAAAATTTAAGCGGCTTACATAATAACGAACTAATCAAATGAAAATCAAGCAAATATAACATTTCAAACGAAACGAAATATTAAACAACAAAAAAAATAACAAAACCAAAAAGAAAAGAAAAAAACAAGCAATAATAATCATTCAATGAGGATAACACAATTTTAGTGATGCAATTTTATTTGTTCTTATCTTAAGCAAGGCTAAAATTGGTGTGATAAAAACAGCTTCGCTAGCAACCAGATAACCCGCGTTCTGAACCAAACACAAAAGCATTAAATCATACGGACGCGATCGTGCATTAAAATCGGACAGTTATTATAAGTAAAAAAAAAAAAAAAACAAGAAACAGAAAAGAGTCAGAGACCAACATATATAAATACATATATTCCTTTTCTCATTCTTCGTGTGTCTGCCTCTGTCCCTCTCTCTCTCTCTCTCTCTTTCTTTCGACAAAGAGAGTGAGCGTGTATTTATTTATGGTTTTTCCTGCTCCATTTTTTGTCAAGTGATTCGGTTCCTTAGTAGTTTTATTTATTACGTAAATCATGAATACATCTTATCGATTTTTTCCGATAATTTTTTTGATTCCAACGAATTGGAAGACATTTTGAAAATCGATTCAAGAATTCGTTGACTTGACTTTTTTTTTTTGCTCTATCATCAAACAAAACGAAAAACAAATACGAAACATCACGCAGAATGAAATTGAAATGAAACTAAAACTGAAACTGAAACTGAAATTGGAATTGGAATGCATGTAAAATTAGAATTATAAAATTTAGCATAAAACAAATAAACTAATAACACAACAACAAAACAAGAAGAAAATAATAATAGTAGAAACAAAGTATAATTCGTCTGTAAATAATCATAGAGAATGCAAATTTATAAAACCAAACTTGAAGTCAATCAAGACAATGATAAGAACCATACCAATAATCAACAACAACAACAACACAAAATCAACAAAAGCGAGCTTGTGTGCAGCAGCCGAATTGAATTGTCTTCATCGAGCAAACGAAACGGATTTAAAACTGGAATTGACTTCGATTAGAAATCTATAGCAAAATTACAACCAACTCCACCATAAATAGAACAACAACAACAAAAAAACAGCACACAAATATAAATATATATACACATACAAATCAAATCCTTTAGAAGCAGAGTCAAATTAGAAAGTCATTTTCATGATAAACACAGGCAAAACAGAAAACGTAAGTGATTAATGCAAAGCAAATAAAACCGATTTCAAATGTTTTTTCCACAAATAATTTTTTTCGTCAAATTTGTTTTTATCCATTCGTTTTTTGAACAACGAAAATCTCTATATTTATACACTTTAGTTTTTCATTTAGATTATGGTATATTTGTTTCCATGACCTCTATTTGCTTTTAGATCCATTTTTTTTTTTTTAATTTAGATCAATACATAAAGTATTTCCAAAGACTGACTTACCTTTTGAATTTAGACACACAAAAGGGAACCCCCTCCCCACCTCGAAAAAAAAAAGCAATAACAATTTTTCATTATGTAAAAAGAATCAAATAAAAACAAGTTCAGTCAACACCCGTGAAAACCATAAACTTGCAATCGAAATGGAATGCGATTCTCCCAAATGCATGATTTTTGCTCTTTTCTGTCTCTCTTTCCCCCTTCGAATCCAACAAACTCTATTTTTTTTTTGTTTGTCTTTAGTGATTGGAATGACAGCAGAATGCTATTGAAAATAAAAATGATACATAATTGTATGTTGCATAATATCACGCTGATTTTCTGCACACAATGAGTTATAAACGATACACCTGTCGGTACAAAAAGCTCCTCTAGTTTTTTCTCCTCTTCTTTCCATTTTGATTTTGACATAGAAATAACAAGTTGCTGTGGATTTGAAAATTAGATGTTTATTATTTCCCTTCTTATTCTGTTGAATTCGGCAAAATGTACAGTAAATACACATTTTTTTTTTTTTTGTTTGATGATGGAATGTGTGCGTGTGTCTGCGTGATGTGCTTGCATGTGATGATGAAATTAGCTCAGGGTGGTGACCGTGAGATGATTAAAATAATGTTCGATGCGATTGTTTTTTTTTTCGGCTTGTACAACAAAACGTGCGAAAACCCAGCCAAATTGGAGTCTTCCAAGTTTTTAGGCAAATCGGCGACGATGATGACGACGATGGCGACGGCGAAGACGACGAGTGCACTTTCGATAGCCACCGCGGGGAATTTAAATTTCTTAGTTTTTAATTTGTTTTTTTTTTTATCGTTTCTTCTCTAAAAATCAAAAAGTGAATATCATGGAAAATCACATACAATCAATTGCACTTGGGTCATTCATGGTGGAAAAGTGAACGCAGTTTTTCAAAGTCTGTTGCTGGTTTTCCAATTTGTTTCGCATGTCTAACTGGTATATATGGACGATTGGCTGTAAGTCATAAATGGTGTGCTTCTTTACGGCTGTCGAAAATGTGATTTTGATTGCGTGAGTTGGGCTTCGCAGGTTTTTTTTTCGTGTGCTTGTGTACGTGTATGTGGGAGAATGCAAAAAAAATGTGGTGCTTTCTGTGTATACAATGGAAAAATCATCATGTGGAAGAGACGGTGACACGATTGTATGCAAAATATGTAAAATATCTAGAGGTAGTGTGTAAAAAAGCAACAACAACAACACAGAACAAAATATCTGTCGACAGCGATCTCAAAACAGCTTTCGTTGTAGGCTATATGTACATTATAAATACCACACAAAAGTCCACTGATCCAATTGTTCTTTCAGCGCTTTTTCGCTTATTAAAAGCCGCAATCAGTGTGTTGTGTAAATGGTGTGCAAAATGATAAAAAGTCAATTCATAATAAACACAATGCACAAAACGTCTCTAATGTTTATCACCGATAAAATTCAATCAAACATTGGTGTGTGTCGGTGATTTTTATTCTCTCGCCAGCTTGCTAGTTCGTTTGCTCATTCAGCCATCCTTACTCGCCATTCGCCCACGTGCCGTTCAATCAAATGCCACGTTTGACCAAGCAAGCGAACCGTGAATCTCGATATCGTCAAACACAAAGAATGGACAAGTTATTGTTGGCCTTTGCCAATCTTTCATGTTCACTTCCCCTCACCACACCTCATACGCTCTTTTGCACCCAACCTTGTCAGTCGAATCGCTTACTGATTTAGACGCGCGCGTCCGCGCCTATTTGGTTCGCGCGATAAAGCGACGGAATATAACGACGTTAAAAATAAAATTAGTGGGTGCTGTTGATTGGCGGCACACGTTGATTGGATATGTGTGCGCGATCGAAGATGAAGCATAAAAAATTGACAGATTGCTTCGTCGATGTATTTAATTCAAAATGTTCCAAACACGATGCAGAACACATTCAGCACTTTCTTTTCACTGTTTTTTGTTCACAGTTTGTGTGTGTGTGTGTGTGTGTGTGTTTCGCTGCTGCTTCTCCTTGTTTTGTTGTTGTTATTATTGTTGCTGTGAGAATGGATCACATGCTTACATTGCACAATCATAAATTATTTATTCGAGTTTTGGCTCCTGCTGCCACAAACCGTTGTCCATGTTCGCGCGATTCATTCGCTTTTCATCTTTTCTGTATTGGTTTTGTGCGTTCTTTTTTCTCTTTGTGGCATTGATAAAAATTATAATAGAAATAAACAATTGAACGATGAGCGAAGAGAAGAATGAGAGCTCAAATAGAGGGTGAGCAAAAGCCAAGGCAATACAAAATTTATCTTTGACTCTCTGGCGTTCGATTCGCTCGCTCGCTCGCTCGCTCGCTCGTTCGTTTGTTCGTTCGTTCGTTCGTTCTTTCTTTCGCTTGCAAGAAGAAAACTCGCTTATATGTATCCATTTACGTATGTAATACGAAAGACAGGCTGCGACTACCGATATGGAATATAATAGCGAACAGCGCAAACACTTTTCATTTGGCCCTCTTGACTTTCCTCTGTTTAACTTAACACTTGAAAATTGATTTTTCTTTTCATTTTTTTATTTTCTTGCGCTCAATCTCTCGCTCACTCGCTCGCTCTCTTCTCGTTTCCCATTTTCATTCATTCTATGCCCCAATGCGCTCTGCATCATCCATCTGATCAGACCAAAAAACGAAACTGTTGTTATTACTGTTATCGTGTACTTGCTGCTGCTGTGCTGTGCTGCATTGATATTTTCATCTCTTCTTCTATGTACCAAATTGGATTCATCCATGCGATGTAACCAAATCGTCGTTATACACACCCAGCGACATATATACGACACGGAGAGACAGAGAGTGAGAGCGCGAACAAATAAAAAAAAAAAAAAACATTGAAAAAAATACACAACAACAATTCATAATAGATCAAAAAGAGACGTAAAAAATATTTCGAAATAACAATGAAGGATTCCTTTCTTTCCTCTGTTTTTCGCTCTCTCTCTCTCTCTCTCTCTCTCTCTCTCTTCCTCCCAGTCTGTGTTTTATGTACATTGGAAGCGCGTGTATTTGTGAAGGCATAAATGGTTTACGATGTTTGGAAAGTGGTCGAACAATGAAAAATTTGATTAGAAAAGTTTTCGAATACTGCTGTTTTTCAGTTGCTGCTGCCCTTCCGTTGGCATTCGAATTCGAAAAGAAGGCGGCAACAGCAGCATTCTGGCCTTTATTTTCTTATTTTCCCATTAAAATTGTGTAAATCGAACAATCTTCCGCGCCGTTTGTACACACGTGTTTGCTTTCGTTGTTCGTCTCATTTGGAGAATTTTTGAGGAAGGAACGGGTTTTTTTTTCTAGTTCGATTTTGACCCAATGTATTGCATGACCGAGGAATAAATCGCATTTGAAATCATAACAAAAAAAAAATGTTCATGCAATTTAAGCCGTGCACCTGAATTTAAATTTACAAGCCGATTGGGAACACACACATATACAGGGGGAAAAAAAATGGAAAATTCGTGGAAAAGGCAACGACAATAATCGAAAATTGAATTCTACGTCGATTACATCGCTTTTAATTTGTTTGTTTCAAAACTTCATAATTGAAAAGCGTTCGATGGAAGAAAGTAAACCTTTCCTAGAGGAAATCCTGGAAATTACTTTTTTTTTTTTATTGGAAATCCACAGCGAATTCTCAGCGGGTATCTCACTCGTATTCGTTGGCATATATTTTATTCCCCGACATGCATTTAGCGTCCGTAGTTAGCGCATAGCATACACACACACTGACATACACAGATCCGATAAGATAAGAGTGTGTATAGTATGGTATAATAAAACTTTTTAATGAGAATAAATGGAAGCGCTAAAACGGAAATCGAATCGATCGATAAATAATAATTGAATTGAGCTTTGATTTGCACACAGTGCCAACACAAACTGCTCAAATTATAACTAAAGAAAAATGTGCTGTGAACCAGTGAATTCAACGAAAATAGGAAAAAAATGACCGTCTTGCGTTGCCAAAATAAAAACCGAAAAAGAAGAGATTGTTATTGTAGTAGCAGTAGCAGCAGTAGAAGCCTAAGGAGCAAGAAACAAAATGTATATGTGCAGAGCCGTAGAGAGCACAAACCATAAAAATCCAATTTTCAATGGCATCACAAATGCTGAGGGTCTAATGGGGAAGTAAACTTGACTCGTTTGTTGCGATATTAAATCATGCCATGTTAAATCTTTGAAACATCGTTATCTTTTTTTAATGGCACAGCACATCGAATGGTGCGCATCGCACAGAGCGTTGAGGGAGTGAGAGAGCCAGTGTGAAAGAATGGCGAGAGATAGCTAATGAAAAAAAAAAACATACACCGACAAAGATAGCGCCATCGAGCAGGCGACTATCGTGAGAATAGAAAATGTGCGAAATTCGTCAAATTCTTGATTGCCTTTCCGCCTTTTTTCTACGCTATCACTTCTGCCCTCTTTCTGCCATTATCATCTCATATCAACAATGTAGTCGATAGAAATGATGCATATTTCCCACGTGCACGATAAACGATTGATAAAAAAAGAAGAAGAGAAGTAGCACTCGCTCGCCAAATGATGGTTTTGTTTCCATTCGTAGCCGATGCCAACACACTTTACATGCTTTTTACGATTGGTCTCTCTATAAGGAATCAAGATTATGTGCTACCGATGAAATGGAGCAAAAGAGAAATCCAGAACACGGCAAAAGTGAAAGCGATAAACGACAAATGAAAACAGAAAATACGACAAGCGAAAACATTTTGCACTGAATTCGGTATTTGTGGCTATTGTCTCTAGAGCATTATTAGCATTAGAGTATCAATTGATCGATTTTTTGCTCGATGTCCTCCATTGTCGGTGATTGTTGTTGCCGACAACGACAAAATGTACGATACATGCCAAGCAAATTAATGGCAGATATCTGGAATCAATTTAGCAACACCATGTCTCTCTCTCTCTCTCTCTCTCTCTCTCTCTATGTGTGTGTGTCTGTGCGCTCTCGATTCGCTTGGGATGAAAACTGCGTTACAGTTTCGTTTGCTCAAATTAGATTACAATTAGAATGCGTTCAATTGAGCGCATGATTGATGGTGCACTACATATTGTTGTGCCGTTTAAATTTTAAACGAGGCGCAAAAAACCAATTTGCATTTGGTCATTAATCGAGTGCAGAATCCATTTGCATCACTATATATCGTCACGAAAGCAGCGCACATTTTATCACTTTTCACTCGGTTTGAAAATGCTTTCGATCCGATTCGATTCGATTCGGTTGATAATTAACATTTATGCGCTTTTAACCGACAACCGTAAAGCATAACATGACACATTCACATAACGCGAAAGCAAAAATGAGATAGAGATAGATAAAGAAAGAGAATGGCGTCGACGAAACCATGATGCATCTCGCATCATTTTCGTATCAAGGTGACTAGCGAAAGAAGATATACAGTCGATAATGAGTTCAATGTAAATTATTAACGGCATGTTTTAAACCCCAAGCTTATTGCCACAAATCTCCACATTACAAAGCATTACTTCGAGTGCAAACAACACTGCCATGAGAAACCTCGGCACAAGCATACACCTTGCGCTTTGAGTGGTAAAAGTTGTAATTTGTAAGAGTTTGAATTAAATGTGGTTCGAAGAAGAAAAAGAAAACATCCGTTAAACGCAGACAACTTTATTTTTTTCCATTCATATTTAATTTTGCATGATTCATTTTGCATGCATTTGGTGAACAGGATTTGATTTAATCGACACATTGCTTTTAATTCAACCGAACATTTGCTGATTGTCGAATGGGCCAACATAAAATGCGGTACTTGAATGCCAGAAATGTGATTCATGTATGATTGCAAATGGTTGCGAAAATTGAAGTGTGACTAGATTGGACAAGACTATTATACTTAAGATTATGTGATAAATGAAACAACAAACAACACAATAGCATTTAATTTTCGGCAAACTTTTTTTCTTTATCTTAATGGTTCGAAATCGCAAAATACCGAACTTAACTAACAACGCTTCAAAGTTTCGCTTGAGTTTTTGAAACTTTTAAACGCACATTTCGCAAAATACATATTTTTGTGTTCGTTCCGATTACACGAAACAACAATTTTACTCAACAACGACAACAACAACAACAACAACTTTTTTCACTCATGCAAATGTAATTACGGGTATTTTTTACACCATTTAAAGTAAGAGACGAAGCAAAAAGAACGAAGAGCATTTTTAAATGGGATTGGAATATATACTTTATACACATAAATATACATATTGGAAAACATTATTGCACAATGAATACGATTACAAATTTTCTGACATCGATGCAATTTATTAAACATTGGTTTTTCAAATGGAAATACATTCGTTTGATACAAATTTTCATTTAATTGGTTTTGTGCGCAAGTTTTATTTAGTCTTCAATTGGTTCTTTGGGTTTGGTTTTTTCGGTTTTATGCCGTATTTCTATTACAACAGATACAATTTCCATTTTATTTTGGTTTTGATCCGTTTTTAAAATATCTTTTTCAGTTCAATACGTTTTGTGTTCTGTTTTTAATCAACACCACCACCACCACCACCACCACCACCAACCATCCCAATTCCCAACCCATCATTATTAATCCGACTCAGACTCTACACTATTTTCTATTCTATTCTCTCTTTCTCTTTTTCTCTTGCAAACCGATTATAGAAAACAAAATTTACTTCACAATACCAAATTAAACGAACAAACCCAACACATTACACACCATAACTAATCCAAAAAAAAAAAATAAAAAAATAAATCGAAAAACAAACAAACAAAAAACAAAACTAGTTATTCGCTAGTTTGCTCGCTAAAGATATGCCATTTAAAAATATTCTGCAAAGACGAGTAAGTGGTCCAGGAGCTTACGGAAATCACTGGAGAAGGTATGTATATACATTTTAGCACCAATTTTCATCATGCCCGCCTTTTTGCCTTCCTCTATCATATTGTTTTTTTTTTTTATTTCTCTCTCTCTCTCTTTCTCTTTATGGTTCTATCTCTTTCATTCGATTCACTCTACGCGTTTTTCTCTCGGTTTCTCACACCAAAACACAATTTTTGATACGCACATACAATCGCTTTGTGCAGTGAATTTTTCGAATTTTCGCTGGTTTTTCTTTCTTCTTTTGCACTGAAAATTTGTTGTTTTTTTTTAAACCATTTTTGCCCATGACTCTCAATTGAGAGTTTGCACCCATGTAAATAACATAAAGCTAAGAGTGAATGGTTCAAAGTGTTTGAAGAATTGAGAACAAAAATCTTGTTTTCGGCATCGGTGGGTTACACAGGCATTGATTTTTCTTGTGTGGAAAAATCAATAGAGACAACTTAAGCAAGAATTTGTGTTGTGAAACAATTTACATTATATTTTGTTCACTTGGATTCCTTTCGTTTACCCCTTCATTCTTCTGTATGATTTGCTCTTGGATTTGGAGATGTTTGAACGAAAATATACAAGCAGCGGAAGCTACTATTTGCATACCTCAATATATTTCGATCAGCATCTTAAGTCAACGCACTGAATATCCGCACAACCAATACAAAACCGTTTCGTTTTTTGAACTTAATTGATGTGTGCATTTAACAATCGAATGGTGAGAGTATTGACAGGTTTGTTTAATTATTGGAAGCAATAATGTTTTGGCGCATCCGATTCAACCCTTTTTGCAATATAAAACCTTTACCAACCAATCAACCAAACACCCATTCATCCAATCCAAGCAAACCATTTGCTATCTACTATGTTACTTTATAATCATTTTTGTGTAGAATAAGTTTGATATCGTGTATTAATTTCATTGCGAGCAACGTAATATATTCGCCCCGTCAGAGCTGGTTGACTCAGCTCAAGACGTACCAAATGTAGTGTAAATGTATAGTGATAAATCATTTAGAGATCATTTAAACTTTTCCTCGTCTGATTTTGTTCGTTCATTCTGCATCTCGCTGATCTTGCAGTGTTCTTCATACAATAGACCACATATCCAAAACTGGGGAATAATCAAAATTCCAAAGTCACGCACGGCCAATCGAATAAAATATCACATTCGTGATTCAATGAAACATGGACTATTTTTCCGTTTCATATTGAATGCCATTAAATCGCATTTTGAAAGTTTTCCTTTTTTCTTTTTTTTTTCCTTGAGAACAAATCACCGATTTTCACACATAATCGCTCTGACATGAATACTGATTTCAAGCCGATATCCATTGCTGAAACCGATGACAAATCGAATCAACCCCAAAGTCTTTTATGTGCGACATTTCTTGCAAAACTTTTCACTCAATTCATTCGCTGTCTTTCTCTTTTGCCCTCTCCTGTTGATCTCTTTTTATCACTTTCTCTTCTCATCGACATTTTGAAATTGAAAACTTAAGAAAACTTTGAAATCCGATGAAGACATAAACCATCAGCGAAAGGATCGGTTTGGTTCAGTTGAATAAAGGAAATCGCATGTAATCATCACACATATTTGATGGCACAATTTATTTGATTAAAGATTTTTGGTGCACATTCACTGTCTTAACTTGATCATATTGCATATACATATGTATCTATTGGTGGCTGTATAAAGTGTTCACAAACTACGCATCATACCCACTAGAGACGATATAAAGGTACGCCCGAAGATTCAGTCAGTTGTGCAAATAGGAAAGAAAGAAATGGCATAAATTTCGCATGGGACGATGGCTAACAAAATGGATTCGAAACAAACATACATCCACACACACACACACACGCTTCTTTCTACAGAAATCCCTTTATGGCCCAATAGCATCAGCAGCTTCATTTCTGTAGAAAAACGCAAACAAAAAGAGACAGAAAATCAAACATTTACATCATAAAATAATGCAGATTACAGTTGCGTGAAATTTAAATAATTTTCAACATTTTATGCAGTAGTTTAAAGCTCCACTTCATAAGCTGGATATTTGATTTGTCCAGAATTTGACATGAAAACAACAGTTTCTGACTACATCCCATTCATTGGGGAAAAAAAAAACGGAAAACCAACTAATGGCATGAAAATGAAATCGACAAACGAAGAGCGGAAAGAGGAAAGAAAGGGAATGTGAGAGTGAACGACAATAGACAGCATCAGTAGTGGATTGGCGTGGATTGGGATAGTATGAAACCTGCGTTATTCTGAACTTATCATATTTATTCATCCATCAAATGATTACGATTGTTCATAAAATATAAAGTAGGCCATGAAATGAAATTTTTTTTTCTGCATACATAGACTTGAAAAACATGACATGGGAATGAATACTATGCCTCGCTTGATTCCATGTATGCTATTTTTCGCTTTCTCTCTCCTTTCTTTCCAAACGGCTGTCGTAGGAACGCATACGTTTGTATTCGATGATACACATAAAATGTATGCATATACAAAATCGGATACTCACTCCATGAAATTCGCTGGAGAGAGGAATAAACAACATTTCTCGGGAAAAGGCGTTGGATGCATTCGTTGTTTGTGCCTATTGTGCCATCCATTGAGGATAACAACGGCAAGAAAGAAAACCAATTTAATATATGAAAATACAATTTGAATTTCATTCGTTTTGAGTTGTTTTCATTTTTTTTGTTGGTCTCGCTCTTTCTCTTCTCGTTCACTCATAAGCATATTCTATTTCGATATTTGTCGCTTTATCATGCGCTCTGGCTGGCACTAGTTGTCATTGTTATTCGCTGCGTATATATACTCTTTAACACCATTTAGTTTATTTTGCATTTTAAATTGAAAATAGTACCATTGCGAAGCATGTATGTACATAAATAAGCACTCGGGCTCAAAGTGAAAGCGAACAGCCTCTGCAATGGTGAGTGTCTTTGTGAGTTGATGCTCTCACACACGTCGAAATGAATCAATATATGTAGAGAAAGCGGAAACCTGATCCAGTGCATGGAAAAGTGTAAAAGTCTTTCTCTCTTTCAGAAACACGATTCTTCGGGGCATATTAAAATGTATGGTGCCGCAATCATATTTTGCCAGAGCAAATGACTATACAGAACACACACATACACAAAATTATTTGATTTTTTTTCTTCTCGTCGATGAGCATCTACAATCTTCAAAACTCTCACGCATTTTTCTTAGCGGAATCAAGCTTATTTGTGCGTGTTTCGCGTAAATTGCGCGCTTCGTCATTAACAATATCACAACAAAAAGTACTGTCATCAACTAAGCTCCGCAAGAATGTTCAATTACACCTACAAAGCCTACTAGATACACACGCAAAACAGTTTCATCGCGCTCCATTCACTGTTGACGATGGTGATGATGATAATGATGACGTGTGTGTGCACGCTACGGCAGTGAACTGTTTAGTCCCCCTTCAAAAAAGCCTAAATTACCATTTAAATGTGTGCACAGACACAGGATATATGTTTAAAAATAAATAAATTATTTAATTAATTATTCGTTCTCAAAAGCTAAAGTCTAGTGTGGAAAATTATGTGAGACGTAAGCTTTATGTGTGCATAAAGGAGGAAGAATAAGAAGTGGTGAGAGCGCCCAAGAGAACGATGAAATATTCGTAAGCGTTTAACCATCTATAAAACGGTGACAAGCAAACATATACTCATATATATATATATACACACACACACACGCCCATCCACCTATTGTATCCATTAATTCATTATATTTGGAGCAATAACTTATGAACGATTGGCTTCACCGTTGTTCTTGGGCGCGAGGTACCAATGGCGGTGCGCTCAACTGTTATATCAAAAGATGACGATGGCGAAGAAAATGTTGACGGTCCGTGAAAAGTATCTAACGTTCCATTGAAATTTATGCCGCACATTTCTGCACAAAGCGGCTTCCAAGTGATCAATGATACACATGATGACTAAGCAACAAATTTCGACTCGTTTTACCTCGGAAGACGATGCCACATAATTCTGACACCAATCACTTCCCATACACATATACACATATACATATACATATACATACACATACACAACAGCCGGAATGTGGAAGAATGTGGCAACCAAATGCTTTTGTGTTATATTCTTGCGAATATCCGTAGGGTTAATGTTTCTTTATGCCGTCAAATTTAGTGGTAAAAAGAGTGAGAGCTCAGCTGCACACATAGAATCCACCTTGGAAAAACTTTCTTCTTTCCTCGAATCTATTTAAAATTATTTTTGAACATTTTTGTAATATGAAAATATGTTATATTTTCGTTATACGAAAGATTTTACAAGCGTTTTCTTGCGACCCACAAATTCAGGGGCATATTTTGTTCGAACAAATTTTCATCCAACAAAAACTATCCATCAGCTCTATTTAATTGTGCATCCCGGTTTTCCTGTCTCGTTGCTCTTGTGCATTCTTTTAAAATGGACGTTCAGGTACAGGTTTAAATTTACATGATCGAACTCGTTCCGCCAGCGAAATATAACATAACAGTTGAATAGTGAACAGTGAATGACTTCCAATCAAATCTGGAATTTACAGCGCTCGATCATTTTGGGCCAGAGTTCAATCAATAAATCAAAAGAGAAAAAAAAAACGGACAGCGCGTAATAGTAACGCACATTTGTTTTGCTCATACAAATCGATTATCAACGATCCAAATCCGGAACAATTGAGTTGTCATTTTTTCCCATTCCGATTCTGTGAATTCGATCATTGACAAAAGGCGCACAAGGCAAACCTTGCCCGATTTATGATGATTTCAGTCGGAAATTTCGAGACATCAAGTGTCACACGCTCGCTCAATTATTGAATCAATATTGACATAGGCGCATTCGGCTAACTTTCATTTGATTGATTCTCTATGTGTATTTTTGTGTTTCTCTTTCTTCCGCATTTCATTTATCGTTGTTGCCGCTGTTGTTCATGCTTTGTTAATGAGTCTGAGC